GAGGTGTCTGTGGGAGACGTGCGCACATGCACAGGGACGTGCTGCGCGCGAGGGGATCACGCGCGCATATGCGGGGGGGGAAACATGCATTGCCTTCTGGGTGCTGGCACACGAGCACGCGCAAGTGAGCGCATGCACAATTATTGGCACGGGAGCTGAAAAATATTAGCCACCACTGGACTACTACCACAACATGGCATCACCATAGTACAGAAACCAGCCCCAGAAGAAAAAACACGAGTCATCTACAGCAGGGGTCTCCAACCTTGGCAAGTTTATTCTGGGAGTTGAAGTCCACCAGGCTTAAACTTGCCAAGGTTGGAGACCTCTGATCTACAGCATACAGAGTAAGGCCGCAATGTAGGACAAACAGGCAGAAGACTAGCAGATCATATCCATAAACAATTAGCAGTCAGAAGACATGATGAAAACTCCTTAATTTCACAACAAATGGATAGACCTAACCATAATTTTAAATGGGAAACTTTGAGTATCCTAGACCAAGCCAAGTCCAAAAACACCAGAGAATTTCCGGAAGCCTGGCACTTAAGACAAATCAGCCATCAACAGGCATGTAGGAGCTGTGTTGGTGCAGTGGTTAGAATGCAGTACTGCAGGTTAACTTACTGCTCACTGCCTGGAGTTTGACCGGCTCAAGCAGGACTTAGCTTTCCATCCTTCTGAGATCAGTAAAATGAGGATCCAGATCGTTGGGGTAATATGCTGACTCTGTAAATTGCTTAGGCAGGGCTGTAAAGCACCATGAAGCAGTACATAAGTCTAAGTGCTATTGCTATATAGATATAAATAATATGGAGCATGAATATCCTCAAACATTGCAACTGTGACAACGATATTTGAGGATCAATGTTTGTAACTGAGCAGTATAAAATTCTATACTAACTAAATAAAATAAAATATATTACACTTTATTTCTGATATTACTGCTTTGGAAATTTTCTGAAAGCCTACAATTAACATCTCATTCATTGCTTATGATGTGGGCGAAAAGATACTTCAAGTGGGAAGAAAAAGCTTGTTCTTGTTGCTGTTCTTCAGTTCTAAAAGTAATAGTATTCCTTTGCTTAATGACCTTGACAAATAAAAAAGTTTCCATCTTTACATACTTGGTAATTCTTCTATCAGTTTTTCATTGCAGAAATGAGGTTTGAACAATTTCCGTTTTGAAGCCATGACAGGTGTTGAAATATCCTAGATCAAGAATATTAGGTGAAAATTAGAGACTGACTGAAGAAAACATGCTTTTATATTAAGAACTTGCAAATAATTGTGTAACAAATAAATTATAGCCACAAAATTGCATTCCAGCACAATGATTTTATTTAAAAGATGTATTATTATATATCTCTATATTATGTGTCAAAAGAAGCTATTGTAATCATCTGCAGAGTGTGCATATCATAGTAGGCATACATAATTAGGATAACCTAAATACATTTTCAGGAACAACACAATTGAATTGTTGCTGTCAGAATGCTTGTTGAGGCTTTCAGCCCATCCATTGTTTCCCTCCCACCCAGGACACTGTTTGAAAAATGATGAGCCTACATTTGGGTTTTTGTTGCTGTTGTTGGGTAAGAAATAGGAGTTGGCTCAACGCCTCTCTCCCTGACTCCATTACCACAGTAAGAGACTATCATGTTTACTGATCAGATCACGAAATCCGAAGAGGAGGTGGTGTTGCTATCTTCTATAAAAAGTCCCTACATCTAAAAAACATCCAAGTTACCCAGGAGCTTGCTCTTCCTGAGACCATCGTCTGTGAACTGTCCTTAAATATCACATTTCGATTCTTATTATCTTACAGAACCCCTGATTATGACATCGAACATGTAAACAAGTTAAATTCACTACTAACATGGGCAACATCCTGCCCACATGCTTTTATCTTTCTTGGTGACTTCAATCTACCTCATATTAACTGGACCCTAAATGAATTTAAAACTGAACCCATACATGCAACCTTCTACAATGCTGTAACAAATCTGGGACTGGAACAACTAGTAACCAACAATACTAGACTTAACAACTGCCTCGATCTCATCTTCTGTAATAGTTTGAACTCAATTTACGGAATACAAATTAAAGAACCCTTTTCCAACAGTGACCATAACACGATTGACTTTTGTCTCAATATACATCCACACAAAAATCATCACAACGATGGGATCCCCAATTATAATTTCAAAAAAGGCAACTATGATCTTATAGACAACGATCTCTCATCTCTTCATTGGCAATTTCTATTCACTGGATGCAATACTGTTGAAGACCATTACAACATATTTTTACTTGAAGTCAAAAGAGTCATCAAACTATATGTACCAATAACTCCCCAAACCAGAAAAAACAAATTACCCATAACAATAAGGAAGCTTCAATCCAAAAAAAATTACTTTGGCAGAAAAACAAATCTGATCACGTTGCCAACTTCAAAAGCCGATACAAAAATTTATGCCACGAGATAAAGACTGAATGCACCAATTATCACATTAAACAAGAGGAAAACCTTCTATGCACCAATTCTACTCGTGCTTTCTACAAGTTTGTAAACAACAAACTAAAAGACTCAAGGTCCATCCCACCCCTGAAAGGACCTAATGGTAAAGACTGCAACAATGACACCATTAAAGCCAACCTCTTTAACACATTCTTTGGCTCAGTATTTGTAAACAGCAATGGATCATGCCCAGTATTTCCTAGTCAAACCAGACAACTACACTGATCTAATACATATCGATTTTACAGAAGACAATGTTGAAAAAGCACTACACAATCTTAAACCATCTCTATCTATTGGACCGGACGGAATATGTGCCTACTTCTTAAAAAAGCTATCCACTGCCAGAGCCAAACCTCTAAGCATAATCTTTGAAAAAACTTTCAGGACCAGCTCCTTGCCAAACCTATGGTCACTAGCCACGGTCATCCACATCTTCAAAAAGGGGGACCTCAGCCTAGTTGAAAATTACAGACCAATCTCTTTATGCTGCGTCACCTGTAAAGTCATGGAATCAATTATTAACCAATCCATTATCCTCCACTTAGAGACAAACAACCTACTCTCTAATAAACAATTTGGTTTCAGAAAAAAAAACTATCCTGTAATCTGCAACTTTTACACTGCAAAAACATATGGACTACATAACTCAATCAGGGCAAAGCAACAGACACAATCTATATAGACTTCTGTAAAGCCTTTGATTCAGTGGTACACGGCAAACTACTCCTAAAACTAAAATCTTATGGTATTTCTGGACACCTGGATAGATGCATTCCTGTCAAATAGACAACAAATGGTCAAAATTGGGAGCGTCCTATCAAATTCTGTACCTGTCAACAGTGGTGTCCCCCAAGGCAGTTCTAGGACCAACTCTCTTCATACTCTACATCAGTGGTTCCCAACCTTTTTTTCACCCCGCACCCCTAAAGAAATTTCACTCGAACCTCGCACCCCCTGGAATAAAAATGCCAACATATAGCCAATATCCTATTATTTACCTGAACTTTTCTCGCACCCCCTGGAATATCGTCGAGCACCCCCAGGGGGTGCGAGCACCCCAGGTTGGGAACCCTTGCTCTACATAAATGACCTCTGTGATCATATTAAGAGCAACTGCGTTCTCTTTGCTGATAATGTAAAGCTATTCAACACCACCAACACTACTATCCTTCAAAAAGACCTCAGCTATGTATCAGAATGGTCAAACAAATGGCAACTTCAAATCTCAACAAACAAATGCTCTGTTCTACATATTGGCAAAAAAAAAATCAGAAAATAAAATACAGGCTGAATAGTCAAGACCTTGTTGATGATCCAAACTGTCAAGGATCTTGGAGTACTCATCTCTAATGACCTAAGTGCTAGAGCCCACTGTAACTACATAGCCAAAAAGGCATTAAGAGTTGTTAACCTAATCCTACGTAGTTTTTTCTCTGGTAACATCACACTACTAACTAGAGCATAGAAAACATTTGCTAGACCAATACTTGAATACAGCTCATCAGCCTGGAACCCACATTACGTATCTGATATTAACACAGTTGAAAAAGTCTAGAAATATTTCACAAGAAGAATTCTCCACTCCTCTACTCGTTGCAGAATACCTTGTCACCAGACTTGAAATTCTAGACCTAGAAAACCTAGAACTACACTGCCTTCGGTCCAATCTAAATACAGTATATAAAATCATACATTGCAATGTCCTAACTGTCAATGAATACTTCAGCTTCAACCATAACACAAGAGCAAACAATAGATACAAACTCAAGGTTAACCGCACCAAACTTGATTGCAGGAAATACGACTTCAGCAACAGAGTGGTCAATGTCTGGAATGCTCTACCTGACTGTGGTTTCTTCCCCAAACCTCAAAAACTTTAACCTTAGACTTTCTACTATTGAACTCACCCTTTTCCTAAGAGGTCTGTAGGGGGCGTGCATAAGTGCATCAATGTGCCTGTCCTATTGTTTCTTTTTATTTTTCTTATATGTATCCATTTCATGTATGCACAACTATGTTTATACTTATATCTGTTATCTTATAATCACTTGACAAATAAATAAAATAATAAATAAATAAATAAATAAATTTCAACCACCCTGAAATCTTAGTTTGTTTCCTTTCGATCCCGGGGAGAAAAACAACAATTCCGCGGGAATGAAGCTACTGATGTAATGAGAAGGGATTTTGTTTCTTAATGGTTTGTCGCGTTTGTGTATCTCTTCCTTCCTTTTCAAATCACTTCGTTCTGTCATCTTCCCTCCCCCGGCTGATTGCGATACTGCCAGGAGAAACGAGGCTCCTAAGGCAGGCATTCCGCCGACGACTAAGCCAAACAATCGCAGTTTCCGCGAAGACTGTTTTTCTTGCTTACCAACGAGGAGCAACCACACGACGCGGTCGCTGCCCAGCTTCGGCGCGCGCTCTCTTTCCCGTTTTTGGAATTCTCCCGCCAAAAGCCCGCCGGGGGCGCTTCGTGATGACCTCATCAGTGAGGAAGCAGCCATCTTGTCGGGCACTTTAAGAGGACGTCAGTCGTTGATCCCGGAAGGCTGAAGGGGGACCAGGTCGGTGTTGAAAAGCGGGCTAATTTTGTAAATTTTGTACATGTTTCTGGAAAAGTTAGCAGTGATGATTTCTTATTTGGCGCCTTTTAGACTCGTCAGTTATTATACCATAATTTGTGATCTTTTAGAGATTAAAGACTGAAGCTGGTGTGCATGACCAGAACTCTTCTTAAAAATGAGTGAGCCAGAACTGTTGCTGGATTCCAATATTCGATTATGGGTGGTGCTTCCCATAGTCTTCATCACCTTCTTTGTGGGGATGATTCGTCACTATGTATCCATCCTTCTCCAGAGTGATAAAAAGCTGACTCAGGAACAAGTGTCTGACAGGTAAGAGATGTCTTAAATAGTTGACGGGTGTCTCTTTAAATAATAATTATAATATACTATGTAGATTGATTATAATACATGCTGGAGGATCTAGAGCTGCCATATGCAAAAGATGGCAGATATTATACTTTGAATCGGCTCTTCCTGTAGATGTGTATATTTTAGTTATAAATTTGGGAGTATCCCTTGATCTTCCTTTGCTGCTAAAATACCCAATCACAGACTAGATTATGCCTAGTCTTGGTGACATGTGCCCTTGGTGTATTTCTTGCTGCTTACTCTACATAGTGCTACTGCCGCAAAAAACAACAGCACAATTTTCAATTGGTCCAAACAAAAACAAGATTTTCTTTGGGAGCTTACAGCATCCATACTGGTTTTTGCTCTGTTTCCAAGCATCAAATGAGGTGATATTTATTATCCCTAAAATTCATATTTGCCATGGGCTTAAGGTATCTTAATAACTGTTGCCTCCTACATGAGCCTTTGAGAACTTTGAAAAATACACTGTATTTTTATGTACAGGCTCATGACATAGCAGAGTGCCTTCTGTCTGACTGCATCTAAATTATTGGACTTGTCAGTCTATATGAGATAGTTAAATCTCAGTGTTTGAATTAAAATATATATTGTGATGATTATACATAGAACCCATTGTTTTTATTACAGATTTAGTTAAAAAATCATGAGACAGACAAATGTATTACCCTTTTAATACATTTGCCACATATAATTATTCTTGCCAT